ATCCTGTGTAGCTCGCAGGGTCACTGAGGCGCGCAAGCCATCACACCACGTCAAGGTGCAGTCTCGTCGTGATGGGTATTGTTACTTATCGCACGTCTTTGTCCGACTGGGACGCGCGGTAGACTTCATCATGACAATGGGAAACGGGGTGGCTAAGCACGAAATAAATTCACAGAAAGCGTTCGAAAGGAGCACAAGCGGCTCATTTACAATTCCATCTACCACGAACCGTCGGGCCATACCTGATTCGCAGGTCACTGTGTAATTGGGACAATGTGAGTAAAGCCCTGCTGGTGGCAGGTATTTACTCGCAGAACAAACGTTCGAAAATTTGCCACTCTGTTGTTCTGTTTAAAGAAGAATCCGTGTAAAGGAAAGAATCATTTCGACCATGACAGCCAGTATATGTGTTGCATGCTCTACACACGGAGCAGCCTAATTTGATGAGCGATGTGAAATTTTATCAGTTCGTTGAAAAACACATGTTAATGGGTACAAGATCTTTCGGTACAATCTTCAACACTTCTGTGCCATCAATTGAATTCAAGCGCTTTTCTCTGATACCATCAACTCATCCCATCGTTCTGAATAAACCGAAAAAGTTGAGGTTAAGCAAGTCATCAGTTATACAAGGTCAACGTGGCCCATATTTCACAGATGTCTTAAAAGGGTGACAGCACAGGTGTCGCATTCTTGCCAGGGGTCGGCTGCGGTGAATAATCGCCAAATCCAGTGAAAATATAACCCGAGAAAGACAGATGAAGAGAGCAGGGTTGAGTTTGCCAACAAGCCATTTGGACAGATTCCAGCGTTTGATTTCAGATAGTTCTCATTACACACCTTTGTGCGACGAAAAGTAGACAGGATAACCCTTTAGTAGCGAAGACTTACTATTCTGTGATGGAAACCTACAACCTAAGCCCCAGGATTGGAAATAGCGAACCACATAAGGCCCCTCTAGGTTAGGCGTGGTATTGAGCCACCCGACAGAAAAGCTGCCTACCAACAGTTGTGTGGCAGAGGAGCGGCTCGAACTTCAGACCATAGGGTCCAAAGCTCGCCGCTGAAAGCGACCAAACCAATGCGCCACCACCACCCTAATAGACAGCAGATTACAAGGCGTCCCTTTGGTCGTTTCCCCCATGAGGAGTTCACAACTGCTACTCGCTACAGAGACCGATTCCTTGATGCAGTTTCCCAGTAAAGGACCACTACCATCATACGATAGGTAATGTCACCCAAGTAGTAGAGCCATTCCAACCAGTTTAAAAACTCAGTCCGTCCGGGTCCGGCTAGCACAAGATGACTCCCCACGTGGCATTAAAGAGCAGAGTAGTGTTTTAAAGGGGTTCAGTGATGAATGACTGACACTTGGTTAGACATTGATACAGTAGACGGAAGAAGTAGGAAGTTAACAGAAATACTACGGTAAACATACATCATACAAAATTGAAGAAATTGAGTAGATGCACGAACGCCACTGGTCTCAACATTCACTCATACCAATCAGTGTCATCAGGAATTTGTTTGACTGATCCAGCGATCTCCAAAAGAGAAACCTAAGGCGATTTTTATATATTATCAAGGCCCCTGATCACGGTTCTCACACCATCATACCAGGTATTAGTGTAGTCACTCTTAACCTTCCACTTGACACCGCACAACCACAGGGCCCGTTTGGTGGCATGCGTAGCACATACCACAGTTACTGCATTGCAGTCACAGCAGTTGCGTCCGGTGCACGTCCGCAAGTGCCTAAAATTCTTCGCCTAACCTCAGTCCCACCAGACTCAAGTTATACGGTGTAGACAGCTGTGTGCGAACACCGATAGTCCATCTTTATCCTGCTTCGGTAACGGTCAGATCGCAGCATCATACAGGAGAACCGATAGAACAGTTACTGCATTCACCCAATACTTCAAGAATAATCGAATGTCGCGGCGATGCAATAGATATCTCAAAATGACAAACGCTAAATGAGCCTCCTATGTGCTTGCCGACACCACATTGGTGTAATGGAAGTGCCGAGATAGCGAAATCTGCCTACTTTTCTCCTAGCTTCTTCATCCAGAGTCAAGTAGGAGGAGAGTGGGTGACCCTAAACCACCACAAGACCTTGGGCGAAAACAATTAGTAAGATCGTACTCGGTTTTTGGCTATTCCTAGACATGAATCGCAACAGAGCAATACTCTTCTGAGGCATATAGTTCAAGGGAACTACCACAATATAGTGGGGTCTAATGAGCCAAAGGCCTCTCTTAGATCAAGGAAAATAGGTATTGTGGGCCTGTGTTTCACAAATTGGCGAAGGGTGAAAATTTGATCGATGCAGCCTCGACCCGGTCTAAAACAAGCCTGGTTCTCACGCGTGTGGCAGACGATCAATGGAGGATGACGAATAGTGAGGAGCATTTATGCAGTGATAGTCAACCTAATCACTCTATGATTTTCATACTACGAAGGTCTATCCCCTTTGCTGTAAGTGGGTAAAATGACCTATTCGATCCATTCACCTGAAACTCGTTTACTGGCCTAGAAGTTCTGTCAACTCCAAGACCAATGTTGAGCTCTCCCCTTGCACTTAAAACGAATGAGAAAACTCATCCAGAACGGAAGCGATTCATCTAATCAGCATCGCTCGTAATAGACTATCTGAGGAGACAAGTTGGTCCTAAATGACCCTCATCTCCCAAGTGCCTTATAATAAAAACCACTTTGCTGTTTTTATCTCGGTTCCCGTCCAACTGAGCTTACGTTGTCCGTTCCCATCGCTTTTAGATTCCCAACCATTAGGAATCCTAAGTTGCTAATCAACATTACCAAGTACCTATTTCTAGATGCCTCAAAGCTTTGAATTTACTAGTCTTTTTTACACCGCCTGTTTGTTTTCCCTCGTATCAAAGACCTACAGATATTTAACAGCAGAAGATACACATTTAAACTGACATTTGTATCGACGACGTTTGTTTGATAATACGGATTTGCTTCTCATCATTGAATAGTTTTCTCAATTGGGTAAAAATTGAAAAATTCTTACCGGATCCAGTGGTAGACGGTGTAAAATCAAATCCGCTCCTAGCGGAGTCCGTGGATAAAAAAGAATCTTTGTCCTCTTCTTTCACGGGAGAGTTCTTGACTGGTGTAGAGAACAGACGCTCCCGAGTACGACGGGACGCAACAGAATCCGCTGTACGCTTAGAGGCCTGAGGTGAGATTGAATTGAGTTCATTTGAGGCATCCATGCCAGGAGGACTCGATGCTTTCCTGACACGTCTCACGGTTGACCTCGTGGCCACTTTACGTCGTTCCGGATGCGTTCGCTTCATANTGTAGTGCCTGAAGGTTAAAATACCACAGAACCCTATCGATTAGTGTACACTTCTGCAAGTGAAGCGTGTCTACAAATTTTAGATAATAAATCGAATTCGTTGATACCCGTTCACCTTCAAGATAGGGGCACAAAACGGGCGCGAAAGATAGAGACGCGAAACATGGCTGCTAATTTACTCAAGTTTATTACGTTTGGAGACATATAGAATGCTGAGGTGTTCATAATGGATGCAACAAGTTATTGCATAGTGTTTGCAAAATACTTGCTGTAACATCCATTCTAATTCACCGAGCGATGACAGTGATTGATGGAGCGAAACCGGATGTTCACGTACTATCTGTTTGTTCTATAAAGAACTGGCTACTTATGAGTAGTAACAAATATATTTCCATTGGTGTTTTCACACCAAATAAACGCCGTTCTGATTTACGACGTCAATAGAAGTCCTAAAAAAGTGAATAGAACTCGAAGAGAAATTAGCCACTATATGAACCCAGCTTTATTTACACATAACGAGTGTTTCAAGATAGCTTATCCATCAGTGCCTCTGACTGACGCCTTCAAAAACATTTTATTTCGCAGTGTTCGCCAAATAGGTATCCAAGTCGACCAACCCCGATGCACACCAAACGGCTTACACAACGTGTGCTTAAGACTTCCTCGTGGTCCGTTGCTGAAGCTATCGATTGCAGATAGTTTAAGCGAAATCAAGTTCACATAGCTGTACTTCTATGCGCTGATACGTCGCTATCCGTTTGAACAACGTACCAGACTAAACCGATCGGTGTAGACCAATGAAAATGAGGTGGGTGACACGAGTGACGCCAGCATGACCAAATAAACCAATCACGTGCAGCTTTACGCAACCAATCAAAGTACAAAGTATGTTGGGTCTCCCACGGAGTGAAACAACAGATTAGCTAAAGTAAACAGCAGAACAGTTCCGTGACAGAGTATGTTTTCGGGTGTTCTCTTGTAAAACAAAAAACAACTCAATACTAAGGATCAGACAGAAAACTTTGAATAATCCCCAAAGCCTTATATAATTTACTAGAGTAATTATCATCAAATAGATGCCATACTGAAACATTAGAAGAATATAGCCAAAGATAATTTTCGTTAGGGATAGTCGATTTTTTATCAGGTGACAGAATTTGTCGCAAGATTTGGAGTGAAGTGCGTTTGGTTCATGGATACGGTAGGAAAGTATTCAGTAAAACTAACATCGAATACCATCGGTAATGCGTAGGGACTGACTACTGTATTAATTTCTCTTGCTTTGCTATGCAGGTACCGTTAAAATCATTTTGACGGCACGCAGCATAGACTGCCCCTAACAAATAATGAATGACAGTCTCCAATGATGGTGTTACGACGCTGCTTTAGTGAAATGATGGTACCGGTGAAATAAATGGAAAAAGGGATCCAAAATAAACACACAACTACTTTCAGAAAGGGAACAAAATCAGGTACAATTGCGTCTGAAGGGGCTGTCAATTTAATTTTTTTAAACACCGTATATCGCAATCAATCACAGACAAAGGGCCAATGCACCAGTGAACGACCCGGTGTGAACAGCAGTCAGCCGTAGGTCTCATCACTGCAAAATTAGACCAAAACAAAACCTGAATAGGCTTGAGGTGTGATTAAGAGAATGAAGAAGCTAATTAGTCAGAATTTCGGCTTCTTATTGGCTAGGAGTGATGATTAGTTGAGGTATTTTTGAGGTGGAACGGGAATTTATTCGGGATAAAAAATTTTTACTGAGTCTGCATCTGCTTCAAAGTATAATTGAACGGTTACACAACGAACAAAGTTCATAATAGTGATAACTTCCAATTACATTTCTGAAAGTGTGATTGCGCAAACGAATTTAAGGAACTAATTCGTTCAAGAGCTGTGAGAAGGAATGATGAAGTTGGTTATGGCTGAGGGAATTTCGTTACACGACCACCAGGTTAGGTTGAAAGTGACATATACAGGTTGATAGCGTTGGACAGCTGAACACTTCTTTGAACATCGTGTGCGTAGACCCAGAAGGCCTTATTCCTCGATCTGTATACGGCATTAGTCGCTGGAGGATACACTGGATCGTAGTCTATCGAGCGTGGACAGTCAAAAGTTGAGATTGTCATAAAGCCGGCTTATACTCCCTTGGGATTCAGCGGTTGTAAGCACAAGAAATAATCCGTTTGACCAACAAGATCCTCATTACTTTGGACGGTGAATGCATCTTTCGGAAAACACACAAGAGCGAGTTCCTTTGTCATATTGGTCTAATGTTCAGTTATGGAAACTGGCAACGTAAACCCTCGAGCTTGAAGGGGTGAACAACATCAGGCCCCAGTAGGCTAGACGTGATATTGAGCGGGAAAATGAAACTTCAATGGAACACATCATTGCCATATATATGACTAGATGTCAATGCATCTGAGTCCAGACTGAGCCAAGCAAATTGCGGTATAGTAACTTTTATAAAGGAAAAGTTATACATTAATGCTATGATTTGAGAGAGCTATATGTACGCATTACCCAATACAGAACATCGATGAATATCTAAAAAAAAACAATTTGGATCGAAAATACCTCGTGTTTGGACTTATGGTTTCCAGTCATTCTCTACCTGAACTGTGAGTAGATTTGATCAAGTTTACGGTTTCTTTGTCAAGTCTGAAGGGTTTGCGAACATAACTTTAGACGAACAGGCGAAGTGAGCTTCCTCTACGACTCGTGCGATGAACTAGAATCTTACTGCAGAAACCAGCCACAGTTCAATAGCCTCGAGGTCATTGGAACTAAACACAAGACATTAGAATCACACGCCTTACCAAGTGACTCACAAATGTAAGCGAAAACAGACAGACAAAGTGCGCGGGGAGCTGAAGTGATCGGAAATCCGGATATCCTTCAATCCTTCCCTAGACCCGCCACATACCCGGGAGTAAAGCATCTCAAAGACACTACGATGCTTGGCATGGTGCTGCAATTAGGATGAGAGTGTGAGTGCTTACATCTCCGGACACATTTTGGTTCATGATGTTTTGTTTCTTCTGTCTAGCAGGACTGCCCTCTGCCCAACAAGGGCCCATCTGTCAGCGATCGCTTAGTAAGCCGTGATTTTTGGAAGCCTAGAGTTAACAACTACTTCCACCCGATGCACTTAAGGGAAAATTTTGATAAAGTATCTGTTTGCTTATAGCTAAACTAAGACTGCGATTCGGTTTGTCCGTGTGGTTTTGATTGTTCCAGGAAATTTTCTGTCTGACTACAACAGAGTGAGACAAACCAACACAAGGCACGGCTTTTCTAAACGTTTTTTCAGAAATTCTAGAGCAACCCTGTGTTGTCCCTATTCTATTTTCCACGTAACAATTGATCTTCCGGTATCACCCCACCCCCCACTTTGTTGATGGTACTCAAGTCTGCTAACCATGTCATACTTTGTCATGCTATTTTTGATTCTACCGACGTTGGAAGTTTCAGTGACAAACAAATCTGAGAGCGGTCCGAAGTTTGATTTGGTTTAAAACTGAACCCTCCAAAATGTGCGGAATGTAGTTTCACCCATTTTCGCTCTAGTTTCTAACCAATCCTGTCTCCACGACTTCCAACTTTCCAAACAGAGTAACTTAGATGGAAATCCTAAATGGAAGCCTCATTTTTACGTAGGAAAAATACGAAACCCGTCCACTCCAATGGGTAAAATTCGAACTCCGAAGTTCGTCACTCTCAAGTTCGCCTTTGAATGTGTTATTCTTGTTTCTCTGCGCTGTCCTCCCGCAGTTGTTCCCAGCCCACTAAAACAGAACTTTGACGCTTTGCAACCATTGGTTGTATCATCCCTCGCCATTGGCGTTCTGCTTGCTGAACATGTTAATCAACACATTGGTTCTTATTTAGCCTCAATCCATAAGAAAGTGAGAGCCCCCCTTAACCAATCACCAATTGTATAGCCGCCCTCACTCAACCGCCCGCTCAAAATTTCGACAAGTGTCAGCTGGAATAAATGTGTACAAAATTCCCCTGTATCGGAGTATTGACGAGCATTGCAAAGCCAAAAACGAAACTATTGACCAAATTAGAACACTAATTTGGATTTCTTGTTTTGAGCAGTACTAGTAACCATTTATTGTTGTGCATTTTTCTATTTTAACAGTATATCGGACTGAAATGTTAGCAAAATTATGACAGAAATTCTCCATACATGTAAAATTAGTTTTTCTATTGCTCCAACAGGAATCAAACAAGACCAAAACAACGAATTCATGGAGAAATGCAGCTGATACAGCGTGATTTGTGTATGTTTTGATGGATTCGTATATATCTGGGAGTGTCTCAACCAGACTCAGAGTTTAACGTTGAGGTAACCATCCGCTAGTGAGGATTCATTCGCTAACAGTGAAAATCAATGGACCACAGAGATAAATACCTGGAGGACGACTCAGTACGCATAACTAATCTATTGAAAACTTCATTAAACACTGCCAAAACTATCTCTAACATTTTTTTGAGTATCAAGCTTGTATTCGCCCATTCGGTTGTTCAGAGGCACCAGCCACCACTCTTGATGGTCTTGGATGTGGGCTTCACTCCTTGGAAGATCGTTAATTCCCCACAAAGTAATGCATTCAAATGCGATGGAAATGTTTGTGATAACCAAAAAAGAGCACTGGACAGCTGTTTGGTCCTGTTTAGGACTTTTTGTGTCCTTGTCAGGACTCGAACCGCTTTTTTCGGGCTGGGACTTCAAACCCTTACATCTGAGCTACACGGTCGAAGGTTATCGCCTTGTGCGAATGGCTCAATCAGTTTTTGAGTATCAAACTTGGATTAGCCCATTCGATTTTTCAGAGGACAGGACGAAACAGCTGAGCCCTTTGTTGGTTATCACAAACATTTCAATCCCTAACGCTTTTTGACGTATATATATGCATGACGGTGTTCAAGAGTTAAGGTTACACAATTATCGGCCGGGAGAGCGCGCATTTGAGCGGC